ATACATGATCTTGATTTCATGAAAGATCTTGTAATAACCAACATTATTTAAGATCTTTAATTCACACATGATCTTTTAATCTTACAAAGTCTTGATATAATGTGAAATCTTTAACTTATGCTTGATCTTGCAATCATAAAAGATCTTGCAAAAATCTTACGAACATACATTATCTTGCAATCTTGCATGATCAATTTAAATTCAAGAACATAAAAGATCTTGTAAATAAGATTTTAAGTGATCTTACATCATTAAAATCATGTAAGATCATGCAAATTATTGCTAGTGATCTTGCAAGATTGTGCAAGGCAAGATTTTACAAGATGCCTATCCATGTGACATCTTACATTCATCTTACTGACCCTTATAATATCACACAAGATCTTGCTAAGATTTTTTATGGGGGTTATACGCTCTTTCCCTTTACTGTAGACTCAAATGGTCAGTATGACAGCGAGGAAGAAGACGATGCTCATAGTACAAGTATGTACATGTATTTTGTTGTCCAGTCTATTTATACGCTCTTTCCCTTTATTGTAGACTCAAATGGTCAGTATGACAGCGAGGAAGAAGACGATGCTCATAGTACAAGTATGTACATGTATTTTGTTGTCCAATCTATTTATACACTCTTTCCCTTTACTGTAGACTCAAATGGTCAGTATGACAGCGAGGAAGAAGACGATGCTCATAGTACAAGTATGTACATGTATTTTGTTGTCCAGTCTATTTATACGCTCTTTCCCTTTATTGTAGACTCAAATGGTCAGTATGACAGCGAGGAAGAAGACGATGCTCATAGTACAAGTATGTACATGTATTTTGTTGTCCAATCTATTTATACACTCTTTCCCTTTACTGTAGACTCAAATGGTCAGTATGACAGCGAGGAAGAAGACGATGCTCATAGTACAAGTATGTACATGTATTTTGTTGTCCAGTCTATTTATACGCTCTTTCCCTTTATTGTAGACTCAAATGGTCAGTATGACAGCGAGGAAGAAGACGATGCTCATAGTACAAGTATGTACATGTATTTTGTTGTCCAATCTATTTATACACTCTTTCCCTTTACTGTAGACTCAAATGGTCAGTATGACAGCGAGGAAGAAGATGATGCTCATAGTACAAGTATGTACATGTATTTTGTTGTCCAGTCTATTTATACGCTCTTTCCCTTTATTGGACACGCGTAGTTGGACTCGCGTAGGCGGGTACTAAGGTGGTCACTATTTTACGGGACGGGACGGGACAAACGGGACAGGATACGCAGAAATAACCTATTTTGCGGGACAAGTAGGTGAGCAAAATGGAACCAGCTCAACATGCCTGTAATTTTTCCTTTAAACTGTAACTATATTTCAGAACCCAATTGAAAATTACACAAACTGTAAATGTAAGCAATCATTATTCTACAATAATCAAGTTGTTCATTAATAATAATTATTATCCACTCTTAATTGTTATCATCAAGTTTATCATTGCACTGTATATATGTGACCATAATTGACAAAAGGTACCTTATGGCGGATTTTTAAAATCATCTTTATAATGAAAAATATCAACCTGTGAGTGCTATGTTGGGCAAACATTGTTTCTAAAAGTTACATAGTAACTTTTTGCATCCTCTGGAGTAGTTTCATGATAATTAGAGCTCAGGAAGTTGGATTTTTAAGGCTATAATAACCAATTTTCCTAACCGCCATAAGGTACCTTTTGTCAATTATGGTCACATATAGTCTCTTTTCCCTGAAAAGTAGAATTTTTCGCATCTTCATAAGAAACGCAATTGTGTTTAGCAATACCATGCAGTTGATTAATATCTATAGTGTATGACAAA